AAAACTGTGAGTAGCAATTTCAGAAACTCTGGTCGGGTTTTAGTGTTTTGTTATGCGTGGTTTTGCTACCTGTGTTGCCTATATAAGGAAACCAATGAAGACACACTATAGTAAGCAAAATTCAACTAGAAAATAGTAAAATGTAAATTAACCAAACTTCCATATAGACAGCCTCAGTTGAAAAGATGAACCACAGGAAAAGAACCACTCACATTAACTTAATATTAAACCACTAGTTCATTGAATGATACGAAACCATAAATATTTAGAAAGATATAGTAGTGCTCACCAATATTGAAGAATTAGAAAATGAAAAATAATATAATCTCCTTCAGCCTGAAAGTTTGAACCCATTCCCACAAATCAAAGCAATCATACTCATCAAGGCTGTAGCAAATCAAAACTGAATTATCATAAATTGTATTTTCATTAAATACAATTGGATTTAGTTATAAAATTGGGATGTGATGGAAGAATAAAGTTTTCCCAGAGAGAAAATGATGAATTATGTTTAGGCATGAAACATATGCATCAGCTATTTCTCCCAGTGGACATTTTACCACAGTGGCACACTTTGTTAATAAAAATATATGCTATTATCTTTTAAAGATTCTTCTAAACACTTTAAGTAGAAGTACTAAAATTATCTGTGAGATCATATGAAGATAGTATTAAAAAGCAATCTTATACACATTTTCATAGGTTTTTAAAATGTGTCAGAAACTCCAGCCCTCAGATTGAATAGGCTGAATTTATGTAATACACAAGCACCTTGGTCTATAAAATTGGAAATACTTTGCTGGAAAGGAAGCTCGCACATGCAAATTTCAGTTGTATTTTTATTTAACACAGAAGCTCCATAAGTACAATTTCCATATTGCCAATTGCCAATCTATGTGAACTGTACTTTTCCATCTAGAGTTCTCCAAATCTCCCTACATTTTTGAAAGCTGTTATCATTTCTTTTTTATTGTTGGCTATAGAGTCATAAAAATATAATGATTCTGTGTTATCAGAATGGAAGTTGGTTTTATAGCCTCTCCAGAACTGTTATAGCAGACAGCACTGAGGAACCATGGTGGAATTTGAAGTTTTAAAGGACAGGCTGTGACAACTTGATCCTTCACTTTTTTCAAGTAAAGATTTCTTACAGTGTTTACTCCTTGTGTGCCTTGTTTTACTTTAATCATTTCCTCTTTTTTCAGTTTCCTTCTTTCCTTCTTCTTTTCCTTCCTACCTCTCCCCCCGCATACACACCTGCTTTTTCCTTTCTGTGTTTTCAGAGGGTCTGCACAACCCATCTAGTCAAATGGTCACCGCTGAGCAGCACCCCCAGCTGGTAACTTTAATAAGAAATCAGAAATGATCCTTTGGGAGCTAGAGCTCAGATTGCTATTTTAAATTGTGAAAAAGATTGGTGCCTTCATGGGTATAGTGGAAGTGTTTGTGTCCAAACAGAGCAACTAAAACAACTCCAAAATCGTGCTTCATGCTCTGTCCGCATGCATATTAGTGGGTGATTCTGTATGGGGATTTTATTCTGGTACAGTGGCTATTTTTCCAGGCCCTTGAAACCTGCCTTCATCCCAGGAGCAGAATGCTATGCTGAGGAGCATGGGGTGTTGCATCACCATGGTCTTAGAGAAGAAGCCAAGAATACAACATTTTAAGGAAAAAAACACCTATAGGAGAGAGCATCTAGTGAGTGATATAGCAAATGTTGTTTTTCACCAAAGGGAAAATCTGACCCTAAAAGAGCGTGTCTTGAAGTTGGCTGCATCTTTGCTTACGGCAGCGAGCTAACATGCTAGTTGTTAGTAGGAAAGCAGAAAGTGGGGCTTAAATTCTCCCATCTTAATGCCTGATGACGTTTTTAAATTTCAGGGCTGAAAAATTGACATTACAGCCCATTCTCCATGGTCATCACCCACTGGGAAATGTTATAGTCCTAGCAGCAGCACCTACATGCAGTAGATTGAGGGGCTGACCCCCAGCAAGATCGCATTAGGGCGTGGCATGATGAGGGTGGAGCCCAGGGCGAGACGGCTCCTTACACAGGAGACCAGAGAGACCCCTGCTCCCTTTACCATCTGAAGCCTCCAGAGCAAGGCAGTGCCATCTACAAAGCAAGACCCAGGGCCTCCAGGCACTGAATTTGCTGCCACCTTGATCTTAGACCGTCCAGCCTTTAGAACTCTAAGAAATAAAATTCTGCTCTTTATAGACTACCTAGCCTCAGATATTTTGTTTCACAAGTCCAGATGAACCAAGACACACCATGTTTTCCAAACAGCATGCATCAGCAACATCCATTTAAGGCTTATTCATAACACATCACGCGGCTGCACAGGATCCAAGTTAGAAGGTCAGGTTCACCCTCTGAAAGCTCCAGGAAGCCATGCACATTGGATTGTGTCTGCCTCCTGCAGAAACTCCTGGAGCAGAAGACGCTGTGTCTCCCAGGTCTGCAGCAGAAAAGGGCAGCTCTGGCTGTGCTGGGGAGACATGGCCGCCTAAATGGAATTTAGTGCCAATGAACCCCAGTGATCTTTTTCATGTTTTCAGAGGAATGACAACTCAAATTACTGGAAAGAGTCAACCTGGATGGTAGAAAAAGGACCCCTAAGTGGTCAGGTCACTGCCAGGACCACGGAGAACCCTGCTCCCACAACTCAGTCCTTCATGGCCTGCGGCTGAGGCAGTGCCCCATGGTGACCTGAGGCCTCCTTGTGATGCCCTGTTCTTCCCCCACATCTTCATAGGCTCCTTCAGGTGCATTTTCTTCTGTCGAAACACAGAACTGAGTGGGCTGACCCACACATTCTTACTTGGGAAAGATGTAGTTTCACAACCAATTCAAAATCAGCATTGTGGTTGACACCCTCCATCCCTGCGAGGCCGGGGGAGTCACGCACTGAACTGAGGATGAGACCTTCCTTCAGGAATGGGGACTGCACCACACCACGAGGGAGCCACCCTCACATCTCCCACACATCTGCCCATCCCTACCGATGCTCCCGCTCGTTCTCTGGAGGGACAGGTTCTGAGTGCCTGAGTGCTGGACGTGGTGCTGGAAAGTCACAGCCGAGATGCTTGGCCTGATCCTTCCTCCCATGAAGGTGAGCATCCAGTGAGAACAGTCACTCTTTTGAAAAGTACAAACTTAAACCCAAAGGACCTGGTGAGACTTATCCAGGAATCTGAGAGCGGAGGCTTCTCAGGTGTTGAAAAGGGTATAAACAGCCTGGTGTGGAGAGGTGTCAGATGCACACACTCAAGCTGTACTGTTGAGATCAAAATTTTTAAGCTAGAGTTGCTTAAAACGAACCACTCATACCCAAGCAGCCCACAGGCCCGATGCACCCGCTGTCCTGAGACCCCTGTGTTGGCCTCTCGCTGATCTGCCTCTCGAGCTGTACCATCCCAGTCTGCTTTGTGTGACTGACAAACCCCACAGAATGGGCCCTGAATAACGAATAGAAGTATGCGGGCTCGGGGTTCTGCAGCCTGGGAAATCCAAGACTGGGAGGCTAGCATTTGGCCTTCCTACTGCATCATCCATGGTAGACAGCAGAAGAGAGGGTGAGGCAGGAAGATGGAGCCGGACTCATTCTGTTATAAGGAACCCACTCTGAAGGCAACAAACCCACTCCCGTGGGGGCAGCATTGATCCACTCCTGTGTGGCATGCACCAGGCACCATCTCCGACCCTGCGCTCTGGGGAGTACGTCTCCACTCCAGCCGCATCAGGCTACAGGGGCAGTCACCTAATTCCACGGAAGGAACCCAGGGAGAAGGAATCAGAAGCCTTACTCTCTCTAGTTCTCATTTCTTTAGAAACGTTACTCAAAGATTTTCTGCAGTTTCTCAAGTTGTGTAAATGAATTTGCAGCCATCACACCAGTGCTAAAACTAGAGACACAAATAGTGGCGACTTTTCCCAAATGTCACCACCATGAGCACCCTTGCTTGGGGAGGTGAGCAGAAGCCAAGCCCGAACTCCCACCAAGGTCACTCCCTCCTGAGACACACATTGCTTTTCTGTCATGCTTGGGATTTTTCGTGAGCAGGAAAAGAAGCTTGAAATGGACCATCTGTCACTGGAGACTACGCTAGAGAAACACATTTTCAGCAGAACGGAAAGTTTTCAGAAGTGATTTCAAAGCCCTTGGCACGGAGTGAACTTGGGAGTGAAGCACAGAGGAAAAAACGTGTCAGCAAGATCCGCGGGGGGAGCCGCACGCCTCCTCCCCACGGCAGTGGAGAAGCAGGGCAGGGATTTTCAAAGCAGCATTCCAAAGTAAAATGTTTAGGAAAGTGAAGCACAAACATCGAAGACGAAGAGCATCGTGCAGCAAAGAAAACAGGAGAAAATGTATGCAGTGAGGCGCCAAATGACCAGCGTTCATGGAAGATTATCAAATTCTCGCCCTCGTCAGACAAAACGACGTAAGGTAAACACCACACACGAGACTTACGCAAACATCGGTCTCCATCTTTGAAGGAAAAGGCTGCATGTATCAAGTGAACAAAACTGTGCCAGAGGGAGTACCTAAAACTGCTGTGAGGAATGGGGGAGAGACGGTGTAGTTAACAATCACTACACTCCAATTTCAGGAGGCGGGATAGGTGATAGCCCTGAATGTTATGAAGACAGAAAAGGAGCCACAGGAGAAAATAAGAAGATGTTCGGAGACAGGCACCAGACCCTTCTGCTGACAGTCGGATTTTCCTTTGCAGAAATGATTAAGAAAATCCAGTTGTGTGAATGCTCATGGCCGGCTCCGTGAGGGCAGCGATCCCTTTGAAGTCTCTCCAGTTGGAAGCCCGGCCTGGCTCCCGATCACCTGCAAGCTCGCAGATAACCACAGGGACGGCCTGGGGAGTGAGGGTGAGCAGGCGGGGCCACCCCTGGAGGTCACCGGTCTCCTGAAGTGGCTCTGACCACAGAAGCTGCACATCCCAGCCCAGGCCACACAAGGCCCCTTCCCTGTACTCACCGCCGGTCCGAACCTCAAGGCACAGCTGCCAGGAGCCCCGTGTGCTGCCCCTGTGGGGCTTCCAAGTCCAGTGCGAGGCTCTGCAGGCAGCTGTCAGCTGATGAGGGAGAGAAGGGACAAACCCTATCTTATTGGCGAAGCACAGCATTCTCCTCCTTCTGTCACTTCTTTTCACAAACCCTTGAACCAGTTTTTTTTCCTATTACTAACACATGAAATGCAGACAGTGCACTGAAGCCTAGCCACGGCTACGGGCAGTGCTGGTCTGGGAATGGGGCAGGGGCACTTAGAGGTCACCGTGCCACGCGGGCGCAGCCTGGGTGGGAGTGGGAGCCCAGCCCCGCAGCCTCCTCTCAGTCCACCTCCGTGACGTCACACCCAGCAAGGTCCCGGGTGGGTCGAGGGTGGAGCAGGACCAGGGCAGAAGGGCAGACGTCTCCTCTCGATTTTGGCTTTGTGGAGAGTAGCTATCCTCAAATCAACAGGAATTGCCTCAGCCAATCCTCCAGGATGTCTTCAATTCAGCTTCCAATAATGGGAAGAGACTTCTTTCCCAAGGTTAAAACACAAAAAGAAAATAAAATGACATGGTTTTGCTGCTTTAAAAAAATGCTCTAAAGGTCAGTAATATATTTTTCGAACACGACCCGAAAATTCAGCATGCAACGTTAAATCACCATTAAACCGCAGCACAGGAAGACTTCTCGGCACTGTGCCCAGGCAGCGCAGGGCTGCGGATAGACAGTGGAGCAGGAAAGACACCCCTGCCCCCAACCACGCAGGAGGCAGCACCCTGGAACAGCCTTCCAGTTCTCCTAATGGGTTAGTGCTGTGGTCAAAACCCCGGGGGAAAAAAGATGATATTCAAGAGTTCTTTCCCCTTCCCCAAGAAGTCTTTATTAAAATGCAAGAAAAAAATGTATTTTCTTAACGAGTTCCTGAGAAATCCAGCATCTCCCTTTCCTCTCCAAGGGCAGCATCTCGAAAGCGGGTGTCCAGCGCCCCGGCCCGCCTTCCACGCCCTCCCTGACGTGCGCACTGCTCTTAGAAAGAAGCCACCCACGATGTTCCAGGGCCAAAGTCACCATTGGAGGGATGCGTCCCGCACCCATCAAGGCTCTAAGGGAATTCACTGAGGCAGGCAGGTCCTGGCCAGAAGCCAACTTCACAGCAGCACAAGCCTCTCCCCGGCCTGCCCTGGTGTCCTCCTTGGCCTTCATCTTCACATCAGGCAACAGAGCAGCAGGAAAGGGAGGATGGAGTCCAGGTCCTACAAAGACAGGCGCCTGAAGACTGCCCACGGTGCTCTGTGCAGCGAGCCTGCTTTCCGCTCTGGACTTGGCGGGAGGAGGAAGGGAGTTTCCAGACCCGGAAGAGGCTGTCCCGGAGGACATTCTGTGGGAGCCGCCCCAGGAGAAAGCCCGGGAGAGGAAGTGTTGAAGACTCGGAGCTCTGCAGCCCAGGTGGAGGTGTCCCTAGGATAACCGATGCTCCAGTCTCAGACAGACTTTGCTGGTATCCACACAGACCAAACTCTTGTTGTAAAACTGATTGCTCCCAGAACTGTTATCCAACTCCCTGTCTCAGAGAAGCAGTTCATTTATGAAAGACCCAGAAGAATACCTGGGAGATCTCAGCTGTTGAAGAACAAGTTGATACTCAAAAGAATTTAAGCCTTACGCCCCACCTCAGCCATGGAGACAGATGTTACTAATGTGAAGAACTTAGGTGTGAGGATGACATTTGGGTGTCTTGGTGCTCAGTGTGAACTGTGCTTCAGAAGTGGGAGCAACTCCTGGACCACAGCACCTCAAAGCTCCCTCTGCAGGAAAGTGACACAGAGGGATTTGGAAGAACTGAGGGATTTTTATTTGTGCATAATTATGGGGTGAGGTATGAAGCCTCAATACCTGCATATCCTGGGTAATATTTAATTGAGAGTAAATATATCCATTCCAGAAATGCCTGTCCTGTCTTCATAGCAAAGCCAGACTCCTTTTTTCTGGCTCCTCTGAAGCCTTCAGTCCGTCATTGTTATTGGAGGCAAACAGAACTCCCTCCTGCCCTGTACCTGCAACAGAGCCACCGATCAGCCCCGGTGGCCACAGCCCATCCCACTCAGCCCCTGGTGACTGCTATGCTGCTTAAAAGAACTGAGCTTTACAGTGAAATTTCCATCACAGAAGTCCAGGCTCCACCAAGGCTCAAATCCATGTCTTTGAAGATGCTCATTGGGCATTTCAATCATGCTCCTTTGCTCCTTGCATTGTCTTCTCAGCACATCAATTTTTTTTCTCTAATTATATTGATTTTAGCAAATTGTGGTGTCCATCTGAGCTGATTTTCAAACATGAGCAGCAAAAGCTTTCAGTGAGAGTGAAAAACATGTGCACTGTGCACCAGTCAGGTGCATTATTACCTCAAACTTTCTACAGGAGGGAAAAGAGGCCTTACAAGGAAAGCAAAAACTGCCTGATGAAACGATGGGATTCTGGAAAATAAACAGCCACTTCACTTCCTGGCAATCATCCTTACACCTCTGAAGTGTTCATTATTCTTCTTGCCTCAAAACTAGGTAAAAAATCAAAGGTGGAATCTATATTTACAATTTCAAGTTTATGTCTTGGAGGGTGATCAGGTGACAAATCAAAAACTAAGTGATGTTTAAAATCAAACTATGGAGTACTTTCACCAGCCAGAGGGCACAGCCCGCACACACCCCCGAGGACACCTTTCCGTGTGTTTTGCTGCCACCCCAAGCTCGCCCCTGCATCTGGCTGCAGTGTCCTCTTCCCGCTACAGCAGCGTGCAGCCCTCCCATGCCACGCTTCTGTGCGTTCATTCACTCACTCATTTTAGAACGTGTGGCAAACACAGGGGATGAATCCTGTGCTGCCCTCCAGGCCAGGAGCCGTGACAGTGCATAGAAAAGCACAGCCATCATCCCCTGAACTGGGTGCACACATTTCTTCTTTGACCCATTTGGTTTCTATGGGTGATGTCCCCATTCTGTTGGAGCTACCATGGACATCAGCTTCCTCCTCTGCTCCTATGTCCTAGCGGTGGCCAAAGACCCATCCACTGCCCCTCAAGGACACCCCAGCCCCGCTGCCTTTTGTGTCATCATTGCAGAGAATCCCTTGCTGGTGTCCAGCTTCTTGTCCCCTCACTGAGCCTTGGTATGAGATTGTTGATCACAGAAGGGAAAAGCTCTCCCACTGCCTACCCTTTGCACGCAATTCCTGGAAACTCTTTGACCCCCTCCTGCATGTTGGGTGAAAGTGGGCTGTGTTATACCTGGGGCAGGGTGGGTGGGGAGACACAGACACACTAACTTGCCTCCAGAGGGGCCCTGTTGTCCTGCCCAGAACAGCCCAAGACAGGACCTGTGCTGCAGCCGAGGACCAGGCACTTGCTGGACAGCAGGTACCAGCCCCACACATCCATGGACACTGAGCCCCTCTACGTCCACACTCAATCTATTGCCTGGCCTTGCAGGAGAAGTTGCAGGTGCAACCCATGCAGCACCCAGCCGTGCTCGCTGCTGGCCACTCCGTAACTAATGGAGGACTCTGTTATGTGCAGGACCTCTGACGGCCCCGCCTGCTCCCAAGGTGAAGCCTGACTCCCTTCAGGGGCCGGAAAGCCAGCTCCCAGAGAAGTGCATGCCAGCCTCGAAGACAGTGCCGAGCAGATTTAGAAGGCCCTACAAGCACTGCTGGGCTGTGAGTGTGTGAATTAGCCAAACCTTTCTCCTCGGTATCTTTCCCACATTTCTTCTACCTCCTGCTCAGCTGAAAAACTAAAATATAACGATAGTGAATACGAACATGCTAAATTGCTCTCCCTCTTGATGTCAAGTTCAGAAAAACTCTCACATAAAACATATAAAGATAATCAAACACAATTTGATACTCAAAGATCTTTGCATGAATTAAATGTGTTATAGAAAGCACGATACCAGAAAGGTTCATTGCCCAACTTTCTATTTTTTTCTTTTCATTAAGGTTATTGGTACATTTTAGGCAAACAACACAGTTGCAACCATCACTGGGATCTTGCGCCTTTACATACTTTATCTTGATTCTTATTTTTTTCCCATTCCCCTGCCCTCCCCTCACCCTCTCCACCCACCCTATTCTGTTTCCATTTTTTCCTTTTCTCATATTTTTTTCTTATCCCTTCTTTCCTTTCTCCTACCCCTCCAGCTTCATCTTCCCCTTTAGAACTTTTCCTTTTGTTTCACATTATCTATTATACATTTTGATTCTTAATTACACTTTCAGTTTCTCACACCAGAGAAACTATTCTGTACTTACACATGTGTGTCCTATTTATTTCACTTAACGGTATGGCCTCAATGTGCATCCATTTATCTATAAATGACACTAGTTTCTCATTCTTTATAGCTGATAGTACTCCTTTTTATTAAGAAAATCAACTTTACCCAGTATCCAGTTAATGGGCAATTGAGAGCTGTTTCCAAGTTTTAGCTGTTACAAATTGTTCCACTATAAACATAAGTGAGCATATATCAATGTGGTATGATTCATTTAATTCTCTTGGGAAGATACCCAGCAGAGGGATGGCTGGATCTGATGAGACCTCTAATCCTAGTTTCTTTAGTATCTCCATATCGATTTCAATAGTGGTTGCACCAGTCTGCACTCCCACCAACAGTGGAGAAGGGTTCTTTCTCCCCATAACCCCACCAGCATTTGTTATTAGTTAATTTCTTGATAGAACATTCTTTGTGGGGTGAGGTGGAATCTCAGTGTTGTTTGCATTTGCATCTCTCAAATGACCAGAGATGTTGAACATTTTTTCATATGTTTATTTGCTGCTTTTCCTTCTTTATCTGAGAAATGTCTGTTCATTACAGATGTCCATTTTTGAACTGGGTCCTTATATTTGGGTGATCTAATTTTTTAAGTCCTTTATATATTCTAGAGCATAGTTCTTTGTCTGAGGAACAGCTGGTAAAAATTTTCCCCATATTATAGGTTATCTGTAGCTCTGTTGGTATTTCTCTTACAGTGCAGAAGCTTTTTAATAGGATGAGATCCCAGTTGTTGATTGTATTGCCTGACTTTCTTACAAAGCATCTTCATAGTTCTCTCAAATGATTATATTAGAACTCAATTAGTAAGCTTTCCCCTTGCTGGAAAGAATACCTGACACCCACAACTTGGAGGAGAAGTTTAATTTGGCTCACGTTTCAGAGGATTCATTTCATGGTTAGCTGGCTCCAAGGCAAAAACATCATGGCGGAGCAAAGCTATTCAGATGATGGCAGCCAGGAAACACAGCAGGAGGAGCAGAGTCAGAGAGGAGGAGCCGGAGACAAGTACTCAAGGTTACGCCTGCATGATCCACTAAGACACACCCAGACGTGGGCTCCACCAATCCCTTGGGTGGCTCCTATCCCACTCAAGTTGTCGCAATCAAGATGAACCATTACAAGGACACTAACGCCCTTGGCTGCCATCTCATCTACTTGGTTGTCACTTGAAGAGCTACTGGGAATTATTGCCAGTTAGGTACAGTGATCCTTGGTCATAGCACAAGCCCAATCACGGTAATACCCAATACTACCAACACCAGCAGAGCTAGGAACACTCCATCCAGTTGGGAAGCTGTGGCCATGCTTGGATTGCCTACAAAGAACAGTGGCCTCCCTGAATCAGTGAAGTGTATCTTTTTGAATACTTTGAGAACATGGACCAGTGTTGAGTCTGTTTAGCAGCAGCACTCTAGCAATGATTGCAAGGAACCTCAGCCCTCCATGAGCACAGAAGCTGGAGTGTCTGTTCTCCTGCTCATGTCAATCGTGCTCTGTACCTATGGTGGGATTCAGCATGAGCTCCTGACCCTCAGCAAACTCCTTTGGTCCCACTCTCCCTGCTGGGTCAACTAACCAGCTCAAAGTAACACAGCACACCTCAGAAAAGGTCCTCCTCACTCACAGAGGCCAAACTGTACCATGAAGTAAGGTCAACCAGAGAAAGGGAGAGGGTCTTTGTCATCCTCTTATATAATGATGTCTGACTCTGGGAATTTAGCTCAGTGGTACTGGGCCTGCCTCACAAGTGCAAGTGGTGAGTTCAATCTCCAGTACCAAGAAAACAATGGTGTCAGAATCTCTCCACGTTGGAAGGGAAGAGGTAGTGATGTCCAAAGCTCTCACACCAGTGAGCACCAAGGTTCAGGCAGTGAAGACCTCACATGATTCCAAAGTGGGGATTTCCTCAGTAGTACTAGACATTCCTAGTTGGTTATGTTTCTTATGATTC